GGGGGGGGGGGGAAGGCACCCCCGTGGCGCCAGGAAGGGCAGGGTGGTGCTCGGGCCTGGGCTGGGGGGGTGCCAGCCCCGCCGCCACGCTGGGGTCCCCCGGAGGGGGCTGTGGGGAGCCCTTCTGCCCCTCGCCAGGGCTCTGCCGTGGGCTTGGGCAAGGCCATGCTGCACCCCCGCTTTCGAGGGGGCTGGGCTTTGTGCCGGTTTCACGGGAAGGCAGGAGCCCACCCAGCTAACCGGCACTCCCGGCTTCTGGGGGCAGTTTCCACGCGAACAGATGTTGGAGCAGCACAAAAAATAAGGGCTTCAAAAGAGTTCTTCCCCTGCCCCGGCCTCACCTCTACCTTCCAAAATGGCTCGCCGCACAAAAAAAAACGGCGGGGTTGGAGGCTGCGCGCTGGGTAGGGGTTGTGTGATTAGTTCCTGATCGTTAAAAGCGGGGTGGTGACACGCATCGAGCCTCATCCTGCAAAACGTTAAACAGCTTGAGTTTGAGCGGGGCCGTGTGGGCCCGGCAACCCGCCTGCAAGGGCAGGGAGGCTCGGGGTGCCGGCGTGGGGAGCCGCGGGGTGTAGGAGTAACTCCTCCGGCGACGGGTACTGCTGCTGCACCCCGTGGGAATGTTCACGGCCATCGGGACCTGCCTGAGCAGGGCTAAACTCGCTTTAAAGCAAAGTTTAAAACAAACGGGGGGTGGGGGGGAATAATCTCCTTGCAATGCGGTAGGTCCAAAAGGATCAAAACTTGAAGGCGTTTTGAGATCCTCTCTTTGGAAAGAGAAAACCTCGCGCGTTGCATGAGTTTTGCTTTGCAGGGTGAGGGCCGGGGTGACGGTGGAGACGACGAGACGGGCGTTGGGGACTCTGCTCCCTGCACGCCTCTGCGGCAGAGACTGGAGGGCCAGGCCAGACAAATCCCAGACTTTGTGTCTCCCGAGCCTTCGCGTCCCTCTGCTCCTCTGATGGGCTCAAAAATAACCGGGATCCTCCCCAGGGACTGAGGCTATGGGATAAATTTGACCCTCCAGCAGCACGTGAGATGTTCACTCAATATCCCCGGTTAAAAATAATACCCTCGTATTCTGTACCTTCTGCGTGGAGGTGGAAAGCATTACTGCCGCTGGCGTGATTGGCGCCGAGCCCTCGGCAGCAAAAGGGCCTCTCCCTGCCCAGAATATCGCCCTGCCCCGCTCCTGTTCATCGGGAGCTTGTTTTCTTTTAACTCGTTGATTTTCTGGGGTAGGTGAGCAGACAAAACCCAGCTGCCTCCTCTCCCTGACCCCTGGGGTCGTTTGGGACGTGAAGTTAGAGCAGGGAAATGCGGTGGGAGCCGGAATCTCTGCCTCCTCAGCAGCGGGATTGCTGGTCTGCAGTGGGAGGGGAGGACGTCCCCGACGGGCTCAGGGGGGAGAGTGGCTTACTGGGGGGGGGCAGGAAGCCCCCTCAGCTCTCCTCCTCTCTTCCAGACAAGCTTTAGTTCTTGGCTGCTGCTGGGGGAGATTGAGAAGAGCGGTTGAGGGAGAGCGTCCCGTAAGCGTCCCCAAAATAAACTATCAATATTGGCAGAGCCCGACCTGCCAGCTGCTAAATACCAGCCCAGCGAGGGCAGAAACTCCCGGCCCCGTGTGAATTCAGCAGGCACCAGCCCTGCCTTTGCATCTCCCGCGACCCAGTGATTAGAGCAAATTATAAGCCGGTGCTTTGGACTAACTTAGCTAAAGATCAGAAGGGAGACTAATTTCGTATCATCACCACCACAGAACGCAATTAAGTGGCTCTGCAAAGTTTTAACGCAAGTTGTGACAGGAAATTTAAGAATAAAAAAAAAAAAAAGAACCCACACCTGCAGCCAGCAGCTCTGTCTAGCCAAGTTGCAGGAGGACGTACCAAGGCCGCTGAGCGCTCCCAAGGCTTGGAGGGCGACCTGTGGGCCACTTTATTCCACTGGGCTTTCCCTTCCTCGGGAGTTTTTCTTGGGTTGCAGTAACGAAAGCACCAGAATTCATGAAAAACCCCCAACCCAAGAGCCCAGCTGGTTGTTTTAACCTGTGGATTTCTCCCAGCCGGGGCCACGTTGCAGCACCCACCTGGTGGGTACCTGCCGGAGCCCGGCTCTGCCGAGCCCAAGGGCAGGAGAAGGTGCCGGGGAGGGGGGAAAAGGCAGCGTCCCCCGGGCACAGCGAGGGGGAAGGCACCATTGCTGTGGGATCCCCGTGGGCAGGCTCCCCGTGGGCAGGGATGCGCAGCAGGAAGGACAGGTTTGGGAGGGAGTAGCTGTGGGAAGAGTGGCCTCTCCACGTTGCATGTTAACGCTCCGCGTGCTTTAATTGCGGTGGGACCGATCGCGCGGAGCCATTCGCGTGCTGCGCGGAGGAACATGGATTTTTCGGGATGCCTGCCTGGCTCGCAGGCTCTCAGCCACGGGGAGGGGGTGGGCCGTGGGATGCAGGAAGAGGTGTCTCGTCTCCCCCCCCACCCCCGGTATGTGTGTGTGTCCCCCCCCGCCCCAGGGGCACCGCTGGAGTCACAGCTCCTTCCCCAGCCCCTGAATCATCCCCGCTGCCATCTGCTGCACCCTCGCTCTTCCCCGCAGATGTCCTTCTTCCTTCCCCAGAAGGAGATGAGAACCGAGGATGAGGTGCCAAACGCGACTTCAAACAGCATCTAATAAAACACAGGATTAATTTCTTCTGACTGGTGTTCAATGGCTCTGATTAAGCAGAGCAGGATTTAATTAGCTTGTTTGGACTGCCTCGAAACCCGTGCCAAAGGTGGGGGAGTCACAGCAGCTGGGTCCCCCCCGGGCCCTGACCACGAGCAGGACCTTTCCCCCGTGGAGGAGAGCCCGCTGCCTGCCCTGCCAAGCCAGCAGCTCCCTCGGGGTCCCCCGATCGCCCTTTACCACCCAGGATGGGTGCCCTTGGCTGTGCTTAATCCCGGTGACACCCACGGGGCAGGCACAGGGAGGAGCGGGACAGGGGGTGATGGGGACACAGACAGGTTGGTGGCCCTGCCAAGGGGACGCTTCTGTCTTCCCAAACTGCGTCTCACCCTCTAAACCCTGTGCCTCTTGGCATAAACCAAACTCGCCCTGCCACTGAGTCCTTGAATTTAAAGTAACCCCGTTCTCTCCCTGATTTACTACCAGTTGCTGGCTCCTCTCCTCTCCCTCCGCCTGTCTCCTTTAACCCATTTCATTATCTATGCTAGCTTAGGCTTGTCTACGTGGGAACATCACGGTGAAGTTATTGCAAAATAGATGGGCTGTGAATGTAAAGCGCGGCAGCTATTCCCCAGCAGCTCCCTGCGTGGCAGCTCCGATTCCTTGCCCGCAATACCTGCATTAACCTCGGCTGCAGGCAGGCACTGCAAAGTGCCGAGCAGGAGCACCCATGTGGGACACGGCTTTCCCCGGCCGCTGGTCACGATGCTGTGTCCCCAGAGCTGGGATTTTAACTCTGTGGGTTCCCGTCGTTGCAGAGGAATAAATAGAAGGCTTGGAGGGAGAAAGAGCCAAAGATAACAGCCGGGGAGCAGGACCTGCCCGACTGAGGAGGGCAGACGACTTGCGAGCCCCAAACTTGTGCTTTGGGGTGCAGTTGGACTCCCAAGGAAAGGGGCAGGCTGCACGCCGGTGAAACCCAAAATGTCAGACCCTTGTTCCCCCGTAGCCCTGACAAAAGGTCACCTCTGCCTGCCTCCTGCCAGTGCCAGCCACTCTGGGCAGGTCAGGTCCTCCTGGTTCCCACCCGCCGTGTTGCTAGCCTACACCTCCCTGCAAGGGACATTTTGCAATTAAATATCCCCTTCCCAAGCAAACCAGCACCGTCCTGCCCAGCGTGGTGGCATGGTGATACCCCCCAGCCTGGCTCCTCCTGGTGACAGGGCTCTGTGTCTGGCCCTGCTCGTTCCCTGCCTCCAGTGGCAGATACGTGGGGCCAAGCAGGGCACTGGCGTAGGGTGAGGAGGCTGCAGGGGGTTACGTATGCAGCCTGTAGGACTCCAATGGCAGTGGCAGAGCAGAGACCCTCCCAGGGGGTCCCAGCAGAGCTGTGTGTGCCTGCAGACCCTACAGACAGTGACTGTTTTGGTGTTCCCTCCGTGATCCCACAGAGATGGCCTCCGAGCGGTGCTACCCACCACCCGGCGTCAGCCCTTCTCAAGTGAAGGGTCGCAGCCTTGCCAGGGTGGCAGCGGGTGTCAACTGCCTCAGGAGCCAGGCAGAAACCCTGCTGCACCCACTAAGTAGCTGCAGTTCAACATCGGTGGTTTCCTCACCCCCTTGCCCTCGGCGAGGAGGGGTTTAGGTGGGGAGCGGGTGCCCAGCCTGCATTACAGGATCTAAATCCAGCTCTGCTAAGTCTGGTCTCAAGCCTCCTCGCTTTGCCGGGACAGTGCCTTTGGGTCCTTATCTCTCCCATTTCTTCTCCAGGCTGAGACCCTTATCTGTCACCTCTTCCATCTGTCCCTGCCTGATACGCGTGGCCGGCAGTGCCCCGAGCCAGCCACCCCTGCCAGCACCCTGCAACGGGCCAGAGCCTCTCTCCGGCTCTGCTTTCCCCCGACGCTTCGCCCGAGGGTGACCTTGACTTTCAGAGCAGACGTCCCCCCTGCCGCCACCGGCCCCGCGGGTGCTCCCACACCAGG